TCGGTAGCACCAAGTTTTTGGCTGTGTTGCAAGGAATCACCCAGCTGGGCTGCTTGTTGCTGTCATTTTTTTCCCCCTTGCCCAGGAAAACTTCATAAATATGTTTCCAAGAAAGCAAGACAGAAAAATTTGTTGTTCATTTGTGGAAGCAATTGTAAGAGGTAGCGGCTAGGAAAATATAGAGTAGGGTCTGAGATACAGGGGAGAACTTGGATGTGTCCCCTTCCTTGGAGTTATGTGTTGTGACCAGAAGTGATGTCCAGCCCTGGCTCCACCATTGCTGAGTGACTCAAAGCTGTCCCTTCATTCACCCAGAATCTACTGAGCAACTACTCTTGTCTCGCACACTGTGTCCAGCACTTGGAACGCACAATGAGGAGTAAAGAATATGTTCTCAATCACATAACTCCTCTGAATAGCATAGTGAGAATGCATGAACTGCAATGAGTTATGGTTCTCTACTCCTCATTCTTTTTTTTCCCTTTCATTGAGTTTATTGGTACTTCTTAGGTATACAGTACCGTTACATTCATCATTGGGATCTTGTACCTTTACATGATGTATCTTGGTTCTTATTTTTTCCTCATATCCCTGCCCTTCCTTTCCCCCCTCCATCCTTCCCTATTTACAAAGACTTTTACTCCTCGTTCTTGATCCTTTACTTTTCTGTGGGAGAAAGTTGTGCCCATAAGAACAAGAGGAAAGGTGGATCCAATATTACCTGGCCGTACTTCGTACTAGTCATTTTTATACATGGCCTCATTTTATTTTCTCAAGGATTTCTCTAAAAATTATATTATAATAGTGCTCGCTTTGGCAGCACATATACTAAAAATTATATTATGCTCATCTTACAGCTGAGAAAACTAAGAGCAAGAGAGGTTGTTCTGCCTTTGTTAAAAGTGAGAAAGAGACAGAGCCAGACTCAAACCCTGCTCTGCTGACTGAACTAGCATTCTTCCTTTCTCCTCCTCTCTCCTCCGTGTTTGTATGTGTTCATCTCCCCTGGACTTTTATTAGGAGCATTTATGGAAAATGTGTTTAAGATTCCTTGGCAGAACAATGCAAAATCCCGCATTCTTATTTCGAGCTTTCCTAACCTCCATACCAACTAAAGTCATTGTCACTTAAGATGGTTTTGCCACTTCAGTCATGGCCAACACTCTTGTGGCTTTGCCTCCTCTGTGTTTATCTTCAGCTTGGAATCATACTTTATCACATTCTACATTCTTAGACTTAGTCTTACTCCTAAATCTAATTCACTCAGCTCTTTCAACACAATAGAAAGTTTAAAAAAGACTATATAATCATCTCTTGGGAGGAAATAAGACATGCACAAATTATATGAAAGAGTAACAGGCCATTTATTTGTTGGTGTTTCCCTGCAAGGAGAGGTCTATAGCAGGAGATGATTTTGCTGCCTTTCCCCCAAAGATGCCACTTTCCGTTTCTCTTTTTCTGGGTATATATTGTAGACTACCATACAACAATGTGCATGAACTTGAACCAGTGAGTTACTCCTTAAGAGTAAAGACTGAAGTTTCCCCAGAAAGAAGCAATTTTGCCTCAAGACTGCAGTGTAGAAACCTGTCTATGAATTTCTAGTGCAAACTTATGATTCAATACAACATCAACTCTTTCCTGACTTTGTAACCTCCTGGCCTGCTCTACAAATTTCAAATTTGCCACCCCTCACAATCACACAAATTGACTCCTTAAAATAAATCTGAATCTGTATAATCCTATGGGTTCACTCTTTGAATACCCTAAGATACCTTCTCCTAGCTGCCCATTTCCTCTGGGTTAGCCCTTCTCAGGCTCTCAGGTGCATGTAGATCACCCGGGGAGCTGTTTCAGGCACAGCTGCCAAGTCAGTAGATGGTGGGCTGAGAGTCTGCGTGTCCACCCAGCTCCCTGGAAATGCTCATGGAGGGTGGAAGGTTTTATGTAACCAACTTGAGAACTCTATTATGATCCCAGTTATTCTCTAAAACATTTTTATTAACTGTATTACACTCCACCGAATGGATTGCCATAGTTTAGTTAACCCATTTCCAATTGCTCTAATCTTATTGGTGTCAGTTTTTCACTATTATGTAGTGCTGCCTAATGGTGTTTTGAAAATAGTGGACCACATAAGATGGTAGCCCATGAGATCATATTGTCTGGTGATGGTGCAGCTTAGTTTGTGTAAGAAATTCTATGATAGTCACACAGTGACACACCCTAAGACACATTGCTCAGAATGTATCCCGTCAGTAAGCCAGGATGTCTTTATCCCTCTACATAAATAATAGCATGCAACTCCATTTCCTCCAGATAACTTTGTCAAAGAAGAATTCTTGGGCCAAAGTGGATACATTGTTTGGGCTTCGGAAACATATTTCTCAAAGGTTCTTTTAAAAAATTGCTTGTGCTGTAGGCATCTCCCCAGCCGCAGGATCTACCAAATAGGGTTCTCTGAATTCATTCATGCATTTCCCCATTAATCCATGGGATGATATTACTTGATTCATCTATGTATTGGATGCCATAGGCATCCTGCTGGGAGCTGGGGTAGAGGGAATTTTTGTTCAATAACTAATAAATTAATTTAATTTTATAGTGATAATTACGTGGTGCTCTAAGTATATGACAAGAACCTGGTCTAATCGAAGGGTCAGGAATACCTCCTAAGGAAGTGACATTTGAGATGAGCTCTGCTGAGTCTTAGGATGTGGCACTCAGCTCCCTAACTTTTGGGCAAAAGTATAAATAATGAGACCTTAGCAGTCACCTGTGGCAAGAGATGATACACATGAGGAGGTCTCCCAAAAGGGCCATGATAGCTGCTGCCTCGCATTCTCCCCCTCTGTGCTGTTGTGGAGATGACGCTTCAGGGCAGTCCCCCTTCAGTCTGCTCCTCAGTGGGGTTTCAGTTGTCCATTACCCACACTGAACACCATCTGATTTCCTGTCTGGCTCCATTAGTTACAGAAGGTGGAACCTAAATAGCAAGTTATTTAAAGGTAATTTATCATAGGCAAATAGTTTGATCCTTGGATCAGTCATTATTTCGAACAGCCCCCCCCATACTGCTGCTTCTATTAGTGTGGATAATGATAGCTGGAAGGAAAAACATTCATTACAGAGCTATATTATTCAAAAGAATGTGGTACTGGCATAAGGATAGAATAGAGACCAAAGGACTAGAACTGAGAATATAGAAATTCAAATATTTATGGCCAACTGATACTTGACAAGAGTTCCAGGGCCATATCATGGTATAAAGAATACTCTCTTCGATAACTGATGCTTGGCCATCTGTATATCCACATGCTGAAAAAGTAAAGTTGGACCCCTTCCTCACACCAATATGAACATTAATAAAAAATGGACCAATGACTTAAATATAAGAGCCAAAATGATAAAATTTTTAGAAGGAAACGTTGGAGGTAAACTTCATGACTTTGGATTTGGCATCGCATTCTTAGTGATGACACCAAAAATATAAATGATAAAATATTATTAAAATTAAAACTTTTGTGCGTAATAGAGACTATTTTACAATTAGAAGACCAACATATAGAATGGGAAAAATAACTCTAAATTTTTTATCTAAATGAATACAGTGTCCTGAATATATAAAGAATTCCTACCACTCAACAATAGGACAGGCAATCCAATTTAAAAATTGGCAAAAGACCTAATTAGAGTTCTCCAAAAAAGGTACGCAAATGTTAATAAACATGAAAAGGTGGTCAATATAATTAGTCACTGAAGACATGCAAATCAAATCAATGAATTGTAAATTCAAACCTACTAGGAAATTTTTGAAAGGAAGTGTTAGCAAAGATGTGGCGAAATTGGAAGCTTCCAGGGGCCCCAGGATTTAGCTTAGCGGTTCAGTGGCCTGCCTCACAAGCAAGGTACGCAAATGTTAATAAACATGAAAAGGTGGTCAATATAATTAGTCACTGAAGACATGCAAATCAAATCAATGAATTGTAAATTCAAACCTACTAGGAAATTTTTGAAAGGAAGTGTTAGCAAAGATGTGGCGAAATTGGAAGCTTCCAGGGGCCCCAGGATTTAGCTTAGCGGTTCAGTGGCCTGCCTCACAAGCACAAGGACCTGAGTTCGATCCCTGGTACCACACACACACACACACACACACACACAAAAAAAAAAAAAAAAAAAAAAAAAGAAGAAGAAAAAAGAAATTGGAAGCTTCCAAGTGGAATTGTAGAAATTAGACAGTTGGTGAGGATGTAAAATGGTACAGCCACTGTGGAAAGAATTTTTTGTGGTTCCTTTAAAAGCTAAACTTAGAATTATCATATAATCCAGCAATATATATATATATATACCCAAAGGAAGTGAAAATGGTACTCAAGAGATAGATGTGCATACATATTCACAGCAGCTACCTATTCAGAATATGCAAAAGATGTAAACAATCCAGTTGCCTGTCAGCAGATAAATAGATAAACAAAATGAGTCACTAGATAGAGCCAAATAAATTTGACTTCAGTTGGAAATTGTTAGACATAGACTCTATATTCATAGAATAGGATATTATAAAAAGGAATAAGGCCATAAAGAGGAATGAGGTGCTAATACACGCTGTAACTGGATAAGCCATTAAAAATGATGCTAAAGGCCACATGTTGTATAATTTCTTTTATGTGAAACGTTCAGAGTCAGAACACAGATTAGTGATGTGTCAGGCGCTGAAAAGAAAGGAGGATAAGGAGCAACTGCTTAATGGGTAGAATTTCCTTTGGTCTTGACGAAAATGTTTTCAAGCCAGATTCAGGTGGTAGTCACACAACATTATGAATAGTTAAATGACTTTTCTAAGTGGTTAATGTTATGTGAATCTCACCCCATTAAAGCATATAATTATAGAGACAAAAAAACCTCATGTGCTTTCTTCCTGTCTTCTGTTTGCCATATTTGATGGTTTCCATCTTAAAACAGGTTCTCCCGTGACTTTTCACCCGCTTTGTATAATTTAGATTTCAGTCCAAGGCTTCAAGAACATTGCAAACAGCTGCAGTGGGATCATCCACATGACCATGAATGATATGCCCACCCTGACGGACAACTGTGTGAAAGTAGGTAGCTGGGAGGTGGAATTTTTTTTCCTCAGTCCAATTAAATGAGTACATATTCTAGTGGCTTGAATTACGGAAAAGTGTGAATTGGTCTTTCATTTTAATTAATAGTAAGAAAATCATACAAAGGCTTATATGTGCACACACGCATACATGCATACGTGCAAAAACATTTAAATATTCCAGTCCTTAAATACTCTAAAAAAACCTTGTTCCATAGTTAAGATATTTTTGTCTCAGCAGTGTGATAGTGTAAGCACAGAATGTAAATTTAACTCCCCCATCCAAGAGCTGACCAGGCCCAATCCTGATTAGCTTAAGTTTAGTTCTCTATGCCAAGCTGCCAAATGTAGTGATTTTTTTCAGCATTCCATCTTTTCATATTTTCCAATTTTCTGAAACACTATTTAATTCTGATTCCACTGCATTATATATTACACTATATTGAAAAAAACATTTTTTTTTCAAAATCAGGACCATTTAATGGTTAGTGTGTCTGTTTCTGTAAATAGAGAGGGGAAAATGATTCCCTTACTTTGCTAAACTTGTTCTATGAAGCATGATTAATTTAATTATTTTTTCTTCCAAAGGCTTTAGTGGAGAAGTGCCAGTGTATTACATCAGTGGTTTTCATTGGTTCACCACATATCTCTGATTGTGCTTTCAATGCTCTTTCTACGTGTAGCCTCAGGAAGATCCGATTTGAAGGTCTGTGATATTACAAATATGGTTCAATCTTATTTTGTTTTGCTTTTGCTTCTGTGGCATTACAAAGGCTGTACTTATTGTCTCCTTTTAAACAGGAAATAAAAGGATCACTGATGCATCTTTCAAATTTATAGAAAAGAATTATCCAAATATCAGTCACATTTACATGGCCGACTGCAAGGGAATAACAGATGGTACCCTCACGTCACTTTCACCATTGAAGCAACTGACCGTGTTGAATTTGGCAAACTGTATAAGGTAAAAAGCCATTTAGTCATGTATTCAAGCAATATTGAATATTGAGGATGCACCAGGCCCTTCTGTCAAGGAGCTCATGGCTAGTGGGTTAAATAGGAAGGTTGGTGGAGGTAAGGGCAGAGTTCTGTGGTGGTAAGGAGGGGAAGCTGACCTTTCCACCATGTTCAGCCAAACTCTGTGGTAATGTGAAGGATGGGCTGGTAATGGGGAAGCACAGGAAAAGCTCGGGATGAGGAATTGCAGATTCCTGTAGCATGAAATTAATTTATGGGCTACCTTTCTTATTGAGGGTTTCCACAGGTAGTTCAGTTAACAGGTTCTTTCCCAAATGGACTTTCTGACTTGAATAACAAGTCTAACTGTGGGGTTTCTTCTCTGGTACAGATTTCTTCTCTGTGTGGATTATTTAAGCAGGTAACAAATTCTTACTGAATCTCTTTAGCTGGGCCAATGGTATGGGGCTACTATCTCGGTATTTTCAAGTGGGTGAGGAGCGAGTTCCTGCTAAAACCTATTTTTCAGTGGGTATCTCAGCCTCTTGCCTGTGTAGATATCTTATACTATTCTAGGGCCAGATGATAACTAATAGCATTTGATCTATAATGAAGGTAATTTGAGAAAACATAAGACAAATCAGAGTTATAACCTAAGCTTCAAAGTGTTAGCCATGGTTCCTGTGATTACAGTAGAAAGGCAGCATGGTGGGGAGGCAGTTGGGAGAGACATAGGAGTTTGGAATGAGACCTGCAGCCTATGGCCAGTGAAGAACTGAAGCCTCAGTCCTTCCAGACTCAGTCAAGCCTTCAGATACCTGAAGCCTCATCTGGCAACTTGACTGCTAGCTCCAGGTACACACTGACCTAGAACCATCCAGCTGTTCCACATCCAATTTCCAAGATCCAGAAACTGGGAGATGCAGGGGAAAATCTTCGCCACTTATGACACCAAGATTGTGTTGATGTGTGATGTAGTGATAGATTACAGAGATCCACACGTGTGTACATGTGTATCTATTATATCTTTCGTCCTGTCTATACAAATGTGTGAAGTAAAATGGAACTTCATTCTTGTATTTTATTCAAGATATGCAAATTAGTTTAAAATTCAGCAGAAATTTTGTTTCCAGAAGTATAGTAGACAAGAAATTTCAAAGAACTCTGCCACAATTTAGACCCTTGAGGAAATATACTGTTAGTACATTGTTGAGCCCACTCCAGAAATAATTAGAAATAAATGTCCCAGTGGAAGACAGGGAGGGCAAATCTCCAGCCATTTATGAAGCAGGATGAACATAGCAGCTCACGCTGTCTTTCATTAGCACTTTGCAGAAGGCTGTAGCCAAATCTTCTCCCAGCATCAGGTTTTCTGTGGTTCAGGGAAGGATCTGCAGGTTACCTATTGGTTCCAGTCTAGCTGAATTGACCTTGTGTTTAGCAGAATTTTCTTCAAGATCCTAGCAGTTGTTTGGCTGTCTGTCTTGGTTTCTGTGTCCTAAAATTTGGTCTTTTTTCTTTTTGTAGACAATCATATCAGGGATTGCTTAACTTTGTCACATTTTAACCTGGGAGAAGAGACCATCTGTGTTATTAAAAATTATGCCTACTCAATTAAATGAACAAATGAACACAAGTAATGTTTTTACTGATATGTCTTCCATTACTATCTTTATACATTTTCTTACATTAAAACCTACGTAATCAAATTTGTTTGCTGTTTTTTTTGGTGGTACCAGGGATCGAACTCAGACCTTTCAGACTGCCTCACAAATGCAAGGTCCCAAGTTCAATCTCTGGTACCACGAAAAAATTTTTTTGGTTTTGTTGTCAACAAAATTCCTGAATATAGATATTATTTGATGTTCTGCAAATATATTAGGTATAGAAACTATCATATTAATGGTATCCTATGTATTTTTATATGACATCACATGTGAAGCCTTTCTCATTTCTCAGGATTGGTGATATGGGACTAAAGCAATTTCTTGATGGTCCTTCGAGTATCAAGATAAGAGAGCTCAATTTAAGTAACTGTGTGCACCTGAGTGATGTCTCTCTTGTGAAACTCTCAGAGCGGTATGACAAAGCAATTTTCTGCCTCATAGCATTAGTACTTTTATATTTGCTAATAGGATTGATCAGAGATAGACCTCAATGCAAAGACTCCAAGCCATCTGGAGAATACTAGGGGTGCCCAGGAGCTAGCTGGTCCAATCCTCAATGGAATCAAATCAAAAACAGTGATTCATGGATCGAACCACTCTTTTGATTACATCTGAGCCATTTTATTATTACTGTCATCAAAAAGAAAATTTGAAATGGAGTCATTCATGAAGTAATGAATATCTAGATATGGGTGACTTCTTTGAACTTTTCAAGGATGTTGTCTCTGTGGAAACTTTAACTCCATCATTTCTCAAGTGGTGTTCAGGCTGCTTGGCTTATTCTTGACCTCTCTTGCTTTGTCAGAGGTCTTATGTTCACTAAGGGTCAAACTCAATTCCTGCAGCAAATGTGTAAGGAATAAGTGAGGAACTTCACCTTGTACTCTTTAGTGGTTGTTTGTCATGGTGTACATGATAGTGTTTTGTAAGCCTGTGGTACGTAAGAAACTGCACTCTGAAACTAAATCAAAGTCTTATATAATACTCCACTTTCCTTTTATCCACCAAATTATTTTCTACTTTTAGCTTACACTTATGTTGATAAAAAGAAAATCTTTTCTTCAATATCATTCATTTTCTCCCAGATAGTTTCTATACAAAAAGTTGGTAATGCTGATATGACTGAGATCTAAAATTAATTCTTTATGTTGCTTTCTTTCAGCTGCTCGAATTTGAACTACTTGAGCTTACGAAATTGTGAACATTTGACTGACCAAGGAGTTGAATATATTGTAAACCTCTTTTCCTTGGTATCACTAGATCTCTCTGGAACAGTCATTTCTAATGAGGTAAAAAAATAAGCAAAACAGTTCAAGGGCATTTATTGTTTTTCATAATATAATAATTTTCTGATTTGTAAATAATAAAAAGGAAAAATAGTTTTATTTCTTAAGTTATTAGATTATAAATGGCAAGTTTAGGGTATTATTTCTATAATAGTGATATGTGAGGCTGTTTGTAAATCAAATCTTGTTTCTTTGCTTAAAAAATAACAAACTGAATTGTTTTTCAGATCAAAGTATTCCATAATAATCTGAAATTTGTTTCATCATAGAAGTTTGTTTAGTGTAGAGATACATATTTTAGATGGCTTCCTACGGGTTGTTCATTCTGCAAATGAGTGCCTTGAGATCTAAGCTTTTAGTTGAGGGCTGAATTTAGAAATGGCCTCATAGAGTCTACAGAAGGATGCATTTGAAGGAACTCATTTCCTATAAGCTTCTGATCCTGCTCTTCACTGAAACCCAAGACGCACTCATCCTACCACTGCCTGCTTTACTAATCCAAGGGAGGGAGGTCATGGGTCAGCCGTGTTTCTGAAATACCCCAATGTACTGTTCACAAACAGGGAATGTGCAGGCCCCTCTTGAAAGTCAGTACATTGGAATGGCTACAAGAAGACAATGGAGGCAAGAACTCCTCTCATTACTGGGTTTTAAGGTGCTAGAGTCTCTTTCTGGAAGTGGTTTCTAGGTTCTTTCTGCCCTGAGCAAAGAATTGGTCGAGACAAGCACAAAAGGTAGCAGTTTTACATTTATTAAAGATAGGAAAAGAAACAGGCTCCACAGAGGGAATTTGAGCCTAGTAAAAGTAGGCAAAGAGGAATGCTGTACATCAGGAGGGCGGACTACTGTGAAAGAACACAAGAGTGGAGAGCTCATAGCCAGCTGTCGTTTTCGTATCACCCACTCCTCAGGGTGATATCAGGTCTAGGCTGTCCGCTCCCAAACTGCTTGAGTTCTTGAGAAGTCCCTGTGTAGTGCATTGAGAACTGTTCTGCACACCTGTCCTGAGATTTTGTAATTAACAGATCACACTTCTTCCCTGGCCTATTTACCTCACCCTAGTCTCCTGTCTCATTCCCACGTCTGCTTGCTAAATCCCTATTCATCCCTAAAGCTGAAGAGCAGATCTCACCTGTGAGGCCTTCTCTCGGAAGCCCTACCTTACAGGCCAGTGTGGAAATTCTCTGCACACATCTCCAGCCCCAGCGTAGCCTTTAACATGGCTTGTTTCTCACTGCATCCTAGACCTCTGTGTTTCGTGTCCATCCTTCCCCAGCAGCCAGTGCTTTTTGATGAAGGACTTGTCTCTTCATTAGTCTAGGTGCTTTCTTTTCTTTATCTATTCAGTCACAGTTTCATCCAAGTGTGACATTTGAGTGGGGTGGGGAGCACTTGTACGCAGCTCCATGTGGTGGGCTCTGTGTCTCATCTTCCTCAGTGTTGTCATTCAAACAAGCTGGAATCCCTGGAGGTGTCCAAAAGCCATCTGGCATTTAGTTTCTTGTCTTGGCAGATCCCTCGTGTGTCACTTCAAGTGTTCAGACTTCCTTGTCATGTTTGCCATGCCCGGGGCCCATGCTGGAGTATGGTGACCCTTTCTGTCTGTCTGAGGTCCACTGTCCCAGACAACCCCTGCAGACATTCTCCTTCTATGTTGTGAATGTGTCTGTTCAGACCCATGCCTCAACCTCTTCTGGATCTGCTGCAGGGTGGCTGACCCATGTCAGTGAGATTCCAAGTTCAATTTGGTGCTTGTGAGGTATTTGTGAGTTCACAGAAGGGATCCCCCCTTTTTTGCATCATCACTAGCCCTGTTTCCTTTGTGTTCCACCCCTCTAAAGAGACCTGCTGTCGTTTCAGCTTCTCTTGCTGACCTTGAGCCCCAGGTTTCAATAACACCATCTCTTCCCATTGTCCCTCCAGCATAAGGACAGTAGTGACTTCTACGGCTATTAGTCTCTTGATTGTGCCATTATTCCATTTCTCTACTGCAGATGTAGCCAATTACTGTTAAAGTTAAAACTCCTAATTTTTCAATACTCAGTTGTTTCTGTTTTCCATGTGGGGTCTTAACTGATAAAGTTGTGCACACAGATCTCTGGCGTCTTGTTGCCTTTTTCAACCTCCAGTGGAGAGGGTTATCATTAAAGTGACCTCCCCAAACCTATCCAGAGGGTTCCACTCCTGTCAGCAGAAGAGATCCGGAAGGTCCTGTCTAGGAGCCCCACAGCAGCTACTTCCTTTGCTTTCCTCTGGATTCACCCTCATCTCCTCTCCTCATCCCTCCTCTCCTTTTCTTCTTTCTCCTCTCCTTTCCTCCCTTCCTGTCTTTGCTCATTCTATTTACTCTTGGCGTAGATTCCTTATCTAATCTAGGAGTAGGAAAAAATGGTTGCATGGTTTCAGAAAATGTTATGCTCCAAGTCTTAGGGCTTGGGCTTTTGAAGCTTAAAAAGCACAGAATTTTTTTCTCCTGTGTTCTTCTGTAAGAACCTTCCACTGACATGTGGGAGTAGAATGCCCAGCTGTTGTCTGAAGGGTCACAGGGTCCCAAGAAGCACAGCGTCAAAGCACATAATAAAATATCAGGATTTACTTCTGCCACAGCACTTATCACAAGCTGCAGTGCCTGGTGGATACTTGCTGAGCATATGGAGTGAAGGCTAAATGCTACGTCTTGAGTGTTTTAGCATTTAGGGAAACTTATTTCCAAAGACCATACTGAGGACAAGTAAAAATTTAGGAATATAGATCTCATGTTCCATTCTCTGTTTTTATTTTATTCTGAAATATACACATAATTTCAGAGAGCTGTAAATAGCCATTATTTTCTGCTAAATGATTAAAAAATGTCTTCTGAAGATTGTAGTTTTTTTCCTCTGAGTCAGTTAACTTCTGATCTAAAAGGCAAATGATTGACATAACATTGCTACAACAGCTGTGGAAGTTAACCTCAAACAGTCAAATTACAATGAGGCAGGCCACACTCATGCTATGCAGTTAAACACCGGCTTGAACCAAAGTTCTGATGAAGTGCAAATTTGACTGCACACTTAGCATTCAGAATTTAAATGCTGAAATATCACACATACACTCCACACATCAAAAGTGACCAGTGCCTTTTGGGAGAAAATTTATGTTTTCTAATGATTATGTTCATTTTTTCAATCTTTCTCTGTGAGTTTTCAGTTAGACGCGCAGTGCTGCTGTAGTAACAGATACCCTAACCCTATTATGCTTAGAGTTCAGGGTACAACACGGTCCCTCCTCCCTGCACCTACATTCTGCTGTGGCAAATGTTTGCAAAGTGTGCTTGGGGTGGGAAATAAAGTCAACCTTCGCTGCTCAGAGGGTCAAGGAAGGCCGTACACTCCAAGAGAAGAAGAGAAGGGATGTGTTGCAAAGCCAGGAAATAGCCTGTCCCAAAACCCAGAAGTTTCACAGTGTGATGGCATCAAGAAATCCACACACTTGGTATGGGCGGATCACGAGGAGAAGGTGAGAAGTGTTGTTTGCAAAGTAGACAGGGGCAAGGTATCTTTGGAAAGCTTTGATCTTCCATAGCTTTTAAAAATATCTAATGAAATGGAATATTCCTGGCCCAAAGACTATTTAGATATGGGGCATATGGGAATGTTTTCCATGTATATGGGAAAATGTTTTCTGCTAGTTGAGAGAATTATGCTTTACTCAAGACCACAGGATCCACAATCAGGGCAGTTCACTCTGTTACTTATGTTAGTCACTGCCATATTTGCTATTCAAAGAAAAAATGAGTCAGACCAATGTTCCCGATGGTGTGCTTAGGCAGTGGTTTAACAAGACTCTTTCATTTACCCAGATTTCAAATTTTTTATTATAAGTTCTGGGGCCATGATTACCTATTGTTTAGGCTATGTCCTGGAGTGCCCCCATTAGAATGTGAAATACATGAGCACTGAGATTGGATTTGTTCACTGCTATTCTCCCAAAACCCTAGAGTAGCAGGCACTGAATACCCATTGCCCGAAGTAGCGAGTGCTGAGCTTTTTGGTTAGGAAACGTGACCTGATCTCTCCAGCCAAATTTGAGAGAGTAGGTATGGGCAATTTAAATATAGTGTAGCAGGTGAGTGACAGAGGGAAGCAGAGGATAGAATATCTTAACTGAGAGATTCTCAATGCAGATACATGCTTGTTCAAGGAACTCTGTGCCACTTAACCCTAATAGGATACACTATAGGGCAGAGATGTCCCCAACAAAATTTCATGCTATGCCGTATAGGATGGACTTGAACCAATGGATAAGGTAGGAGTGCTTCGATGTAGTAAGCCTCTTATAGATAGATTACATGACCTATTCTCTGGGTGATATATTGGGGGAGAAAGACGAGGCAGAAAGACCAGTGAGAGGTATTTTAGTAGTTAAAAATAAAGTTGAGGTGTTCTTAAGGCAGGTCAGGTTAGGACTACTATGGAAGGGACTTTTTCAAGAATACATAGTAGGTAGAACTTGAAGGAGTTGGAGGTTGGTTAATTGTGGATAAAGAGGATCTAAGGGTAGGGTGGAAAGATGATAATGATTTTTTAAATCTGGCTTTCAGTGGTTAGAGTTCCAACTTCAAAAAAGTTATGTGATGTAAGAAAAGCAACAGGTTTTGAGGAAAAGATTATTTCAGTTTTATCAGATTGAGTTAGAATCTGTGTCATATTCAGGCCAAAGGCTGGGAAAGAGACGGTGAGTGGAGCTGCAGACGGGGTAGCCATTATGGAGGTGTGACATTGGCCACAGTCCTCAGGGGGACCACTGGGGTGAGGGGCAGTGTTATGGCTGTGTCTAGATGTTCCCTCAGAGCCTCATGCAGTTATAGGTGGGGCTTTTCCAGAGATGGCTGAATCTAGGGTGCATGATGCTGGGATCAAGGATGAATGATTACCGAATCAGTCCACTGATTGGTTTGGCACGGTTCTGGGCAGGATTAAGGGTGCCTTGCCCTGGCTGTGAGTGCTATCCACCCTAACGGT